CCCTGTTTATGGAGCAGAAATGGGTGGGTTCTTTCCTCCCTATAGTTCTTCGCAATCACCCCAGTTCTTCATGATACACCAGAATCATTTCCCAAAGCCCGGGGTGCCCCGACACAAAATGAGGAACACGGAACCCCCCAATGAGACAGTCACTCATTCCTCCTTCACCCCTCTGACTGTATCAAGGAGGAAGCCTCAGCTTAGGGCTAGTCTTCATTTTGATTTTTTTAATAGGTTTGATCTTTTAATAGGTTTGATCTGAAAGTATTACAGATGCCCCCCCCCCCTTTTTTGTCCCTCTAACATTTGCTAATCCTCCCTTCTTTTTAATAAATTGCTCAGCCCGGCCGGGCGTGGCTCAGCAGTTGAGCGTCAGCCTAGGATCCAGGCGATCAGGGTTCGATTCCTGGTCAGGGCACATGCCCAGGTTGTGGGGTCGATCAATGACTCTCTCATCATTGATGTTTCTATCTCTTTCCCTCTTCTTTCCTCCCTCTGAAATCAATAAAGATATATTTAAAAAAATAAAAAATAAAAAAAATAAATTGCTCAGGCCTCAAGTTCAGATCTAGGCAGGCAATAGCACTTAAATGGAATTCAGTGGCATTTTATTATTTTCATTAAATGTGCATTTACTTTTGCAGTAAATGAAACTGGTTTTCCATTCATAGATGTACATCTGCCCAGACACAATTTTTTAAGAACACAATTTATTCATTTGTAAACCAATTTAAAATGATTTATTAAGCATCCCTACATGCCAGTCACTGTGTTAAATATGAAGGATAGAGCAGAGACAAGACACCTAAGTGCCTGCTCTCCTGGGGCTTACAGTCTATTTGGGGGAATCAGGCATTAAATAAGTTATGATAACCTAATTTCTGAATTACAATTGTGATGACTATTATGAAGGAGAAGGGTAGGATGATTAACTTTCTAGTCATGAGAATCAAGGGAGGCTTCCCGGAGGAAGTGGCACTGAAGCTAAAACTTGCAGAGGAGGGGGTGAAGAAAACAAAGGCATGGTCAGGAGAGTGACTAGGAAGAGAGGAGGGGGAAGCGCACAACTAGAAAGTACACTGCACACAGAAAGAAGAGCCGGAACAAAGGCCCTGTGGCAGAAACACGTTAACTGTCCCGAGTAAAGAGAGCAAGCCAGCCGAACTGGAGGGGGGCGCGCGGGGGAGAAGCGGGGTAAGTGAAGGCAGGAGAGGTAGGCTGCAGCCAGAGCACGTCAGGCCTGTTCGGTGAGAAAAGGGGTTTTGATTTTATCTTATGGGCAATGGGAACCAGCTGAAGGGTTTTGAACAGGGGAACAATATGATCAGCTCTGCTTCTGCTTCTTCACATAAATCAAGATACAGAAGCTCATAAATGTCACGCAGGTATTTTTTTAAAAGTACGGTGTGCAATCACAATGTCACAGTACAGATATAAACAGGGGCCCCGATGGGGGAGCGGCGGG